GTTAGCTGCGGTCCCACACGCCGGGGAGAAATAGTGTATACGACTGAGGCTCGCATACGTCATCGTTACTAGAATTGAGGCAGAATGAGTGACAAGCGATTTCAGTGGTAATTGGTAGTGAGTAATTAAGAGGATGTGCGTAGAGTATCATGAGGTGCTGCCATGGTCTCTTTGCATTCTGCAAGAGTCATTCTAGCAAATGGCGATTGTGTTGCAAGATGTCAAGAGGAGGTCTCTGTCTGGAGGCGCAGGTCGTCAGGGATGTGTGAGATTGTGCTGTGTGTATGCTTGTGGTATGTCGGCTTTTCTGTTTGCTTTCTGTTTCAGCTCTGTCCGTGTGACCCAGGTTCTCGCAATGGCATCCAAGTCAACGTGTATTGGTCATGATGGTAAAAGTGGATGGATCCCTTTTTTGCCGGGGAGTGTCAATGGAGTTGAAGATTGAACGATCAATTCATGGTTGTTTGCTCAAAATCAACTTCCCCAATTTTCGCGGAGGCATCAATACGACAGTCATCGTCTCATCGGTCGCTGTTCAGAAAGAAGTCAGCAGTAAACCATCAGAAGTAATCTTGTGATTTATTATTGTAATATTTATTCACAGACCCTAGTAAATACATTATTTTTATACGTTGGTGTAACAATAAAGAATCCTCGAATGGCCAATCGTTCTTTTGGTTTATTCGTCCGTTATTACTAAGCGTTTCTGAAAAACTGCAAGGAACAGCGTGGGCCCGAGCGTAGCAAGACCTGGGCATCAATGGTTTATGAGACGTGGCTGACAACATGAATTGTTTCTCCTGAATCCAGCTTGTTCCGGTTGAAGTTATTCATGTAGGGCTTGTTCGATTTTCTCAAGGATTATTCGGCTTAGTATTTTGCTTGGGATGGACAGGAGAGTGATTCCGCGCCAGTTTTTGCATTGACTTAAGTCTCCTTTCTTTGGTAGTTTGAATAAGTATCCTTTCTTCCAATCCTCAGGTAATTTGCCCACTTTCTTACCTCACCTTCTCCAGCAATGGCGTCATCAAGTCCGCTGTTGTCTCTGGGTCCATTTTCAATGCTTCTGCTGGGATTCCATCTGGTCCTGCTGCTTTTCCAGCTTTTAGCATCTTGATGGCATTCAGGACTTCTGATTTCATCGGGCTGTCGATATTCACTGGTAGTTCTGCTTCCGTTGTTGGTATTGTTGGGCGCGTTGTAGGTGGCGGTCGATTTAGAAGTCTTTTGAAGTGTTCAGCCCAGTGTTTTCTTTGCTCCACCTCCTTGGTGATTGACTTTCTACTGTCATCCCTCACTGGCTTAATCTGTGTCGAACTTTTGCCCGATAGGTACCTGGTGGTTTAGTAGATGTGGAGAGGTCTCCTTTGCCTGCAGCTTGTTCTGCTGTACTTGCCATGGTTTCATAATATTTTCTTTTGTCTCCCCTGCCACTCTTCTTCACTATTTTGTTCAGCGTGTTGTAGCTTGCATTCAACTCCTGTTTTGTTGCTCGTCGGTGCACTGAATAATCTTTTGTTTCACTATCCTTCTCTCTTCTATTAGTTTCCAAGTGTCCATAGTGAGCCACTGTTTGTCCCACCTCTTCTTTCTGCCTAGAACTTTCATGCAGGTTTGACTCCACACCGTTTTCAAGTTGTCCGAGTGCTTTTCGACGCCAACCTCTTCGCTAGTGTAGTCTTGTGTCTCGGCTTTGTTCCTTTTGTTTGCAATGAAGATGTCATTTGTATCATGGTCCTTCAGTTTTTGAGTATTGAAATTGACTTGTGGTCTGTCTGCAGCTCCTCCTTCTCTGAAAGCTTTTAATTTGATTTGGATTGTCCCTTGTACGAGATAGTGGTCTGAGCCAACGTCTGCTCCTCCTCTTACTTCTGTGTCCAGTTGGCTGCGTCTCCACTTCCTTGAGATTGAGATGAAGTCAATTTGGTTTTTGGTTCGCCTGTCTGGTGACACCCGTGTAGCCTTGTGGATATCTTTGTGCTTGTATACACTGCCACCAATCACTAGTTCGTTGAAGGCGCAGAAGTCAGCGAAGAGTTCTCCGTTTTCATTCATTTCTCCTAGAGCTTCTCTACCCATGATGAGTTCCCTCTGTGTGATGTCTGGTCCCAGTTTGGCGTTCATGTCTCCCATTAGTATTTTAATGTCGCCAGCTGGAGTATTGTCCATTGTTGCCTGTAGTTGTCTGTAGAATTCTTCTTTCTTTTCGAAATCTGCGTTGTTTGTGGGTGCATAACATTGTATAATTGACACTTTCCTTCCCTTGGAGTTGAATCTTGCGGTCATTATCCTGGGCGAGATCGCTTCCCATTGCATCAGCGCCTTTGTTGATATCATGATAGCCACGCCCTCGGTGTGCGTGTGGTTATCTTCTGGGTGACCGGAGTAGATCACTGACTCACCCATTGCCAATTTGGTGAGTCCATTCCCGTTCCATCTGCTTTCACATATTCCCAGCATTTGGATTCCGTATCTTTTTATCTCGTTTGCGATCTGAGAAGCTTTGCCAATCTCATATGCGGTGTGGACGTCCCATGTCCCCACACAGACTTTTTCTTTTGGCGCAAAGCGATTCACTGTGCTGAAGTTTATGTAGCAACTTTGTTTACAGGATGGGATTGCTAGCATCAAGCCTGAGAAAGGAATTGTTACATTAAGATAAAGTTTAGAGAGAAGCGACTTTTTGGGTTGCTCCCCTCAAAATCGGAAAATAACGGACAAACAATGAGAACAGCATCAACAAAAAGAAACAGTTCACAGAAAAAAGGGCAAAAAGCGACAACAATTATACAATAAGACAACATGCAATATAGTTCAGCACAGTTAACTAAAATGGTATCTCAACCATAAACTCACTGACTCGGAGCAACCTAAACATGTAAATCCAACAATATATACAATTATAGATGTGTTTATGTTTAAAAGTTCCACAAATCCAAATAGTTAGTTATATGTATTATCTGTCAATAAGATTGTATTCTTGGATTCAGTGTTCGAAAGTTAAATAATTGTGATAGTTTCCACAAACTCTTGGCATAAAATTTTACAGAAACGAGAGTTTTTATTAATAAGGAAAATGTAACGCAGTAGTCGAATAGCGCGCGACACCATATAGCTTTCACGATATCCACTTCGCTGAGACCGTTTCGTCATAAATGATTGCGTTCGGCTCTCAGACTTCTCTATTCTAGCGGTGGGGTTCTATATACTGGCAAACCTGCTCGTAGATTGATTGATACTATCTTTTACCAGTTTCAGAATATCATCGAACTTTGGATCAATACCCTCATCCGCCATACGGGAGCTTATCTTCACCCACTTCCTTTGCAGTCGAGTAGGTAGGCGTCTCAATATTACGTGTACGACGGATCGTGAGTTCAGATCGCTCATGCAATTCATCGAAATCAACGTATTCTTGTAAGTCATCTGACTATCCAAAAACTCAGAGAGTGCCCTGGAGTCATCTTGTATTTGACTACCATTACCTTTAACGGCATCGAATACGTTCTTTACAATCGTCGGAGGTCTTCCAAATCTTTGACGCAGGGTACGTATCGCCTTAGTATATCCTTCGTTTGGCTTCATAAACCTACAGCACTGTATAACTCTTCCAGCAACTCCAGTGCAGTACCTCGACAAATACATTAACTTCATTTCATCATTTAATAAAAACCACTCAACATCATCTCAAACTCCTTTACAAACTCTGGATAGTCGGTTGGGTTTCCATCAAAGTACCTAGGCTCGAATTTAAGTAACTTTAGGCCCTTACTACCTCTAGACGGCGAACCATGTACTACAGACTCATCATGCTGAGCATCATACATATCATTACAATCAACAAGCAACTCAGCATTACTTACTTACCTGTCTGCTTCCAAGACGCTTTGTCCCTTCTTTGACCCAGACATCACTGAAATTGACCAAAAAATCCAGAAAAGTTCCAGATAACACTTTGTTGCAGAACATCCAAGTCCGATACCAGTTACATAGAGAGCAATAAAAGAATCAAAAACAAACAAACAAGTAGTTGACCAGTAGCTTGGTAATTTTCTGGTAGCACTTCTGATATCATTGAACAACCGGCTGTTAGTAAGCCCCCAATGTATAGACCTGATATAGAGCGTAAAGTTGCTAACCACGTATATGTTGGTGAAATAGCATACAGCCATGTCATGTGAATAAGCGCAAGAAAACAAACAACATTCAAATCTTTACGTCCGAGCCTGTCTGATAAATATCCTATCGGTGGAGAACCTATACATATGCCCAAAAATACTAGAGTGGTAAGAAGAGCAACATAATCCGAACTCATATTCCATTCACATCGTAGCGTAGGCCCAAGAATTGCTTGAATTAAAGTTTCCATGGTATCAGTCGCTTGAGGCATACCGACGATTATAATGACACGAACTTGATACCATCCAAAACCTAGTTGATCCAAAAGCTTGGACTCCAGAAAGTTTAACAGTGCTATCAGACTCCATTGCATGTAATGTGGGGAGGATTCGGAAAGTCACTTTCATGAAGAGAGCAGTCGACGTTTCACAAATCAAATCTTCAGAATGTTGGTGAGAAATTCGATACTCCAAAAATATTCAACTGTTTCGAAAAATTAAAAGAAGCGTGTATCTAAATTACAAATTGAATCAAGTCATCACTAAGATTCGTCGAAGAACTTTGTGTTGCATTGGACCTTTGGACATCCGAATTACTATTAGTTATTTCAAACAGAATCCTATTTCCTTTCAACTATCTTGCGGGAAAGTTGATTTGTCCCTTGTCGACTATCATTGGTGTCTGTATTTGTCTCGTTGGTCTCGCTGGGAATCTCAAGGAGTTAGAGGCTGCTGCAGAGCTCAGGGAGAAGTTTGTTCCATCAATCGTTTCATATATTTTTAGGACCTGGGATTAACTTGGAAATAGACCTTCCTTTTACATTTTTCATCACCGCAAAGCTCCCTTGTCGACTAATCCCACCCTCTAATTCAGTAATCACAATGTCCACCAATCCTATTGTTCTTGCCCGTGGACACACTGAAGCAGTCACAACTTTGTCACTTTCTGATCATCTGCTGGCATCTGGAAGTGCGGATGGCAATACCTATTTCTGGTCTCTGGATCAAAGTCCTTGTCCTGTTCTCCAGGCTCCAAGATATGGTCACTGTTCTAGTATCAAATTTAGTGTCAAACAAGAAAATATACTCTACGGGGCGTATAGCCAAGAAATTATCTCGTGGGATATACGCAACTTAAGACAGCTATTCGATATTTGGAAAGTATGTTGACAGAACTATCCTTTAAAAACTAATCTTTCAACCTTTAGGTTAATGAAGGGAGAGTAAATTCGATTGACGTATCTGAGACTGAAGACCGGCTGGCGTCAGCAGATGATACTGGTACAGTACAGATTATTGATCTGAGTAATGGTTCGCTTGTTCGTACTCTCAAGAAACATGATAACAGCGTGTCTTCAGTTAAGTTCCGACCGGGTCGTCCCTGGCAGCTGGTGAGCGGTGGTGTCGACTGTAAAGTTGTCGTATCCGACTGGCGGGGATCAGGCTTGGCGGTTAATATTTTTGAGCTGAGTGAAATTGCTGACTACTCTGGCTCAGACTCAAACAATGTTGAGGCTGACTATTCTTATATAGACAGTATAGATGATGAATCCTTGAATGTACTCCTCCGTTCCAACTCCACCATGAACTTTGACGGGGGTAATACCAGAACGAATGACCGCATTCGAGATCGGTTCGCCGAGCAGATTGTAAGTCAACCAGCGTCAACATCTTTTCGTGTATGCTACATGTGTCCTTATTAACCGTGTTTCAACCTACAGGATTTCATGATGACAAGAACAGTATCCTGTTCCATGACTCCTCATTTTATAAAGTAGCCTACTGTGTAGACTAAAGTGGGATGAAACCTAGGCATTTCAGCGTGTGTTCTAGGTGTTAATCTCAATATTTCTGGTCGCTTCTTTAAAAGTGAAATCTGTTTATTTTTGGTCTGTCATGTCGGAAAGTAAATAATGAGCTGTAAATCCCAGTTGGCGTCACAATTAAGGCTCTTCATCTCATTCTAGTGTTCCCTTATGAAGTGGTTGTTACGTTGAAGCTCATAATCGTAAATTTGATGATTGTAATACAAGCTCCGGAACACCCGTGCCAGATATACTCTTCACTTGTTTGGAAACACTATATACGCCATGCTAATCCTCTCTACAGCATCAGAGACAGTAGAACGTTGAGAATAACATCAGTGTGTATCGGCACAAAAGTCATACCACTCATCCCGGGATCCATGATCTCCTGCATAACTGTCAAAAGGAAGAAGCTTCTCATTGTCTGCAAAGGTCTTCAGATGTGACTAATTGTAAGTTCTACCACCAACTGGATGATATATTTTAAATGGACTTGGCAATTATTTCAGTGGTAGTTCCTACGTGGATATCTTTGCTCTGAAGAAAGTCGTTTATGTGGTGTAAATAGACTAGTCGGTCTCAGGTCGGAGTCAGTGTATCAGCAGCAGTCCACTTGTCGCCTTATCTTCCGGTGGTTATCACTGTGGCTTGTCAATCAGGCTATAACATGTCGCAATAGTAAACAGCAATCCTTCTTTCTGGAGTAGTTTTCTGAACCCTAACATAAAATCAGTTCATCACGTTTGTAGGTGAAAAAAGCTTAAGAAGTAGAAAATGTGTGACAGAAATTTCGCCCGTCAAGTAGTCAAACTTGCAAAAGGTGATCAAGGTGGCTGCACAAATCTGGACACTTTTCACTTAATGATGATGCTAGGGAAGGTATGTGGTCATACAAAAGCACGGTATTAGTGCATGATGTCATGTATTGTTGGCGTAGACCATGCTTAAAGAGGTTCAGATAGCTTGAATAGGGTCATTTGAATGCTTCGCTTCATCATTCAGTCACGAATGCTACGCATGAACCTAAACAAGATGTTTGTGTGAACAGGAAATAACCGGTTAAGTTGTAAACCTACGAAACCCTGTCTGTACTTTTTAAATGTGTGATCAATATCTATTTCAACCGCCAATGGATGCAAAAGTTAATACTACCATTACTGTTTTGTCCTCTCCACGTATTATTATCATTGCTATTACTCATTCCTTGCTCTTCCAACAAAATATATGGCTTCGGCGGCACATCTCCATTGCACTTGATTCTTTGCCATTACTTCCAACTGGCTCCACAAATCACTATCTTTCTTTTCGCCTTTACATGGTCTTTGTGTCACCCTCAGACTGAAGACTAACTTCACCTTCTATTCTGGTTCCTCTGTAGTGCCTAGTGTGTGATGTCAACTAAAGCTCTGTACCCACAGAGCACCTTAATTTTTATTTGCATGTTTGTAAGGCAATGTATTCTCAACTTGTTTGTTGCTAGAGCCCCTTGTTATCTGTACTTTCCAGCCTTTTGATCTTCAGTATCGAGGCAGCAATGAGAGTTGTTGATGAAAATCTCTAGTATCCTATTGGAGTCTTTTGGTGATACGCTTTCTGTAGCAAATTTTGATCTTCCTTGTACTGGGTAGGTGACGTAGATTTTCAAACTGATTTCGGAGCAGTGACGGTCTGTCTTGCTTTCCTGATCTTGTCTTTGACATCCACTTCTCTACCGCTGCTAGTAGTTGAAACGATGTTTCCCGGGTAAGCAAGTAAGAGATGACTTCCTTTTGATTGCTTTCACTGGTGATGACCAGTGCTTGTTGTTGATCATCTCTATGTTTACATGGAGTCCTGTCTTCTCTGCCTGTCCTGCTAACCTGTTGGTTTTAAATTGTGGATCTTCGAGTTTGTGGCACACGAGACATGAAACATCCACTAGGGACAGATCTGGGGTCTTTCTGTCAGTTCAATGTATTCTGGAGTTCCCACCTCGTGGTTTACCGCGGGGCCCAGTGGGCCAAAAACAGGAAGGTTGTCAGTGACAGTAAGCAGTCTTGTCTCATTTCTGTCTTCAACTCGAAAACCTTATGTTGGTATTCGCGATTACCATACAGTAGTTTAGTGCGGTTTATAAAAGTTCGTGGCGAAACACTCCGTTAATGCGGCAGTTTTCAAATTTAAAGAAGCCTTTTGAAGTTACCAGCTGAATGCTTCTGCTGCTCATTTGCCTAGTACGTCGTAAATTATACTCAGCGGCTGCTTCCGGTATTCGTCTCTGCGCTGGTTCATCATCGTCCTTCTTTGCTCTGTCACCGTCCATTGTGAGTTCTTCCTTGTCCTGTTTCAGATTTCTATATGGCTTTGCGTTCGCACCACTTCTATGGTGTTCCTGTGTTTTTCACACAGGCTAACTCGGTGATGTTGCTGACTGTTTCTGACTTGATCCTGTTGACCACAGTAAAGGTTCTCGTTGTTGCGTTGTCCTTCAGTTGGAGTGTTGGGGATGAATAAGAGCCTTTATCTTGATTTCTTGAAGGCCTTCAGCTTTACTTTGAAGGATCCTCGCACTAAATCATATATGGTCTGGACTCCTATCTGCTCATCTCGACTTTGTTTCTGGCGGACTACATCTCATCTTTCTTGAGATTAAGATGAAGTCCATCTGATTTTTGGTGTGTTCGTTAGGTGAGACCTATGTCACTTTGTGTATATGCATGTGGTTGTGAACGCTGCCTCTAATCACCAAATTATGAAGGTGCCGAAGTCTGTGAACAGTTCACTTCCCTGCTCCCAACCGTCCCACTTTTTCTTGGCTCATTAGCGACTGGTAACTTAGGTGAGATTAAATGTAACTACTGGGTTATATATTTGTGGCTCTAGAGAGTCATATTTATTCATCTCCTGCATAGTTTTGATTTTTTTTACGGAAAGGTTCTAAAACACTAGAAAAATACTATTCGTCTTCCAATAATTAAAGCCATTTGATTTACCTATCATTCATCTTTGAAATGATTTTTTTTCGCCCAGGCCCGGTTGTTTCTTATCCCTACGCCAGTGTCATTCAGTCGGGATCGCCAGCGTCGTAACATATCAGTCAGACGTCCTTGCATCAACTCAGTTTCCTGCTCGATGTCCGGTGACATCGTTGCTGCCTCACTTGATAGCAAGACCATTGAATTGTTTTCCGGTTATGGTAAAAAGTTGATGCATTATGAATCATTGTATGGTCACGATGGTAGAGCATCAACTGTACACTTTATAAATGTATGTTTTCTAATATTTTTGTTTCCCTTGTTGTTACAAAGGTAGTAACGTATGTAGGTGTTTTTCTTAATCTCAATTTATACGGTCTAATGTTTCACGACGCATAAAAACTGCAATGCAGCTATTATAATGCTCGCTTACATCAGAATACTCAACTTACTCCATCTCTGGTGGGTACGTGTTGTCCACCTGTCGATGAGAGGATGTGTGTACTGTCGAGCAGTTTGTTGTGTGTTGCTTTATGACTGTGTATCATGGCTGTTGAGAGTGGAGAAAGTGAAGTGGATAGTTGTCTTCCGCCATAAGCGATTGCATCCTATCTCATACTTCAAGTGCAGGGTTTAATGCTTAAAGCAGAAAATAGTAGTGGCTGTGGGTTAAGAGTGGAACATAGGGCTTCAACAGCACATCTTCATTCTGCCATGCACACTGCTGTTTTTTATCTGGCTCCACGATTGCCCATGAATTTCTATTTCTTCCCCACATGATTACCACTGTATTAACCTCAGAAGTCCAACTTTTCCTTCTCCATTTTAGTTCCACTCAAGGACCTAGTATGTAACGTCACTCAGCGGTGCGCCCAACTTATGTGTATCCAATCAACTTCATATTTGTTAGTTATTTATCCTTTATGTGACTATATGATCTTCACTATCGAGCGAAGGAGGTAACTGTTAGTGATAGCCTGCAGTGTGTTAGGAATGCCTTCAGTGGTTAACCCATTCTGTTGAACATACAAAAAATTTCGGGTCGCGTTAGTTATCGTGAGTGGCGTTAATCCCTGTACTGATTTCGGAGTGTGAACACCTGTCGTGCATTCACGATCCTAGCTTTGAGATTCTCATGTTGTTGTTGACACGATGCTGCCTAGATAAATAAGAAGTGACTTCCTAAATATGTCTTCTACCAATGGAGACCAATGCCTGTTGTTTGCTGGTTATCAGCAACACTCCTTACCACTTTTTGTTCACTTGAAGTTGTCTCATCACTTCCTGCTCTCTCAACTTGTTGAGTTTCGTCTGTGGATTGTCGAGTTTTGTGACAGTAGACATGACATATCTACAAGGTCCGGGTCTCCCTGAATCCTTTTATCAGTCTGATGTTTCATGTCTCTCAGTGTCTTCTTGTTGACGCGATGTATGCGCGTCTTCTCTCTCTCCTCATGTTCTATTCCATAATCTAATTCACTTCAAACAGGAATATAATCAGTGGTAAAAGGCAGTCTTATTGTATTCCTGTCTTCACTTCCAATACTTTGATGAGCTTTCCTTTGTGAATCATTTGACATGTTGCATCATCATATCTCCATTGCTGTTGAATGAGGCTAATGAAGGTTTGGGTGAAGCAGTTTCCAAATCAATTCATGCTCAACACTGTGTAGGATCTTTCCAAATTCGATGAAGTTAAGGTGGAGAGTTGAGTGATGTGCTCTCTTCCATGCTGATGCTTTTACTGAATTCAGCTTGTTGCGAGTGAGAATTTCTCACTCTGGGCATCTTTTAGTTTCTACACGATGATGCGGTTAAATATTTTTGTAGTTGATAGTAGTATAATTCTGCACCAGTTCAAATCAAAACTTGCTGTCAGTTCATGTAGTGTTTGGCAGTTGGGTTGAGCTAGCCACATAGGAAGATGAAGATTGTATCTCTAAGATTTCCGAACCGAGACTGAAAATTCAACATGGAGCAAGGTCGTTTTTCAAATGGCCTGGATGCATTGTCTCCTTCATATGGTTTACCAGACTTTCTTATACTTGACCCTATGAAATAGGATCACCTGAATCAATAACTCACTATTCGTGTGTAGATTTCTATAATCATCTGATTTAACAATTGAAGAAAGGTGTTCATATGCATCGAATACTCTTCGTGAACACCACCACTACAATTATCTCTTTTTTAAACGTCTCTTAACTCTCTTTTCTTGCTCTGTACGCTACATGGAGGGAGTGTGGCAAATAGAACTTCTGTGCAAAGCTCTATGTTGAAACCAGTCAGTCAGTCGAAACCAACTGAAAACGTTTAGAATTTAGTTGGTGGAATCCAGGATGCACATTTCGCCCTGTTAGGACTCGTCACCTGGATGTGCATGCCCAGACGTCGTCGAAGCATCTGCACAAGAAGCCGACATGTCAACCTGAGGCGGAGCAATTCGGTCCAATCAATCGACGAGAAAATCTAAAATTCAATTGAACAACTGGATAAGTGTACAGGTACAGAAATGGAAAGAAATAACATTATTTTCGGGAATATATAATGTGTATGTATATATGAAATTCTCTTTTATTTTTCAGGAAACATTACTAGTCAGTGGTTCATGTGATGAAAATATTTTTGTATGGAATATTGAGTCAGAAGCTTATGGCCAAGCTACATATCACGGTGAAGAAGTGAGCGCTTTTGAGGGTAGACGGCTTGATCGTCTTATCGTCGCGGATTCCTCTCCTGTAATTAAAGTGAGTTGCACAATATATATAAAAGTGGTTATAGTTTTGCACTTTGTTTGAATTGAACCCCCGTTATACATCCTAGTTTACTAGCCAAACTTGTTCTTCTGTATATTCATTCACCTCACGTGTAGGCTAATGCATAACAGAGCTGAACTACACCGACTCCTAGCTGAAAGATAAGCAATGGAATGGCTGGGTGTGTTGACCAGTTCACTAATTTGGGAAGTTGCATCAGCCTTAATTGATTGCCTGATTGTGGTAATGTAATTACAGTAATGTAAACATTATTGTATAACACTGTGAGACTTTATCAAAAAAAATTTACCCGTAATGGATGAGACATGGTCGTTGAAAGTGGAAAAATTGAGTAGGCTTTCTGTATTCGACCAAAGGAAGTTTGTGGGTATAATATAGTGAATAATATTAAAACCAAGGGTTGTAGATTGTTAGGTGAGGACAGTAAATTATTCGATGAAGTTGTATGGGTGAATTGATTAAGATGGTTAGGACACGTGTTACACATACTATTTCAAGCCATCCCTCGACAAGCAGTTTTAGCTAAGATACGATTAGGCTGAAAGAGAGTTAGGGATGTTCAGAACAAAACGTGTCATCAATTCACTATGACTTTGGCAGTTGATAAGAGCCATACTGGGAGGCATAAAACTGCCTATTTGTTATCTTCAGGATGCTGAAAAGCAAATTACTGCAGAGTATGGATATATAGTTCAAAATCGTCGTTCTCAGTGGCTCAGACGCACGTATCTACCAAACCCTTAGAGTTTTCCTTGTTACCGTCCCTTCTTCCCCGCATTTCTGCTGATTATAGTTCTTTTGAATCTTCGTTTTCTCTTGTCTCTTCCTCTGTGTGCTACACTTCTGTGCAAAGTTCTGTGTGGTTGTAGACTGAGTGCTTGCTGATGAGAATATGCCTAACAAACAACAATCATCATCGACAGGAGAAACATAGGGAGGGTTGTCTCCGAATCACCTGTAAAGCATTGTTTCAACCACAAGTGACTACACAGATGATGTCAAAGACAACCAGGATCAGGAAAGCGGTACATTTATTCATTAGTCTACGATGTGTGTGGGGATCTTCTGCACTTAATCAGCACAATTGACAAGATCAAAGTTTTGTAGAAAACTAAAGTCAAATTAGTGCCTCTTAAAT